AACTGTTAGATGATGAGAGCTGAGGCTGTGATGGCTGTGGAGAAAAATTGTTCTCACTGAACAAAATTGTCAACATTGGCTTCTTTTATATTATATATAGTCTTTTCTATTGTTTTTATGATGAATGGCTCAAGTGCCACTTTATATACTGGCACATCCAAAATCACTGCTCTAGTCGGGCCGCTCATGCCACACGCTACGTCAACTTCTTTTCCAAGACTTGTTCCTAGTAGCTTCTTGTTACTACTAGTAAGGCACTTGTTACTAGAAGCGATGCACTTGTTCCTAGTAGCTTCTTGTTGCACTTTGTTGCACTGAGCCAAGTTAGCTCTAAACTGGCCAGGCTCGCTTAGGCCGGCTTCGGATTCGGCCGCCCTGATCCGTCACGGGAAGTCGTCGAAGACACGTCTGTTGGAACAGACCCATGACTATGAGCGTAAACACCAACCTTTGGCATTTTCGGGGTATCTTTGAGAGGCTGGGGTGAGTTGGTGTCCTAGACTCCGATAGTCCTATCGGAGTCCTATCTAGCTGAGTAGAACCCAAAAACACCAGTTGTGATGGATATGGTTAGTTTGGTCAAAATCGCGAATGCATCTTGGGCATGTTGTGCATCCATCCACAAGTTCTGCAGCAAATGATGCATGTCAGGGATCAGTCTGGGAGCTGGACCTCTCAGCACCAGGAAGATGGGCATAGCTGGGCAGCCTGACCAGCGACCACGGTCGATGTTGCCCGCGGTTTGATGGGTGTGCTTCGTCTCGGGAGACCCCGGCATGTAGTGATTCAACAAGTCAGAAAAAGGTTGGAAGAGGTGCACAAAGATCCAACCCATTCATACGAACTCAACATGTTTCTTGCGAAAAGCTGTCAGTAAACATGCCTGTCTAATACTTGTCGACAAGGTGTTTGTTGCATATTGTATTGTAGTCTCCTGCACTTCCCCGTCTTTGTATTTTGCTGTCTAGAACTACGATGTACAGATATACAATGGACAATGGTATACATATTATATCCTCGCATCGCAACTGCTTCTATCGCAAGCGCTTGCAGGTTAAACAAGAAAGTGAGCCTACGAAAGGCATGCGGGTTGGAAACTGCGACCTTTGATGATCAATTCTATTTTGAGTTTATTGTTTAACTTAATTAGGTGTTCCTTTTTCTTCGCACGTCACAGTGTGGTGGTGCTCCGAACTGAATGACCCAATACCTGCTGTTGACGTTTCACACTCATGCAAGCTCTGTTGATCGGCAGGTCTGAACACCCGCTAGTATTGATGGTTTCTCCCCTTGCTTTGTTGGAGTGCTTTCCATCTTGTGTTGATTGTGCAACATCTGTTCCTCATCTGTCAACAACGAAGAAGGCCCCACCAATGCTACCCTTGAAAAAATGCGGAAAAAGAGAACAGCCGTTTCTCTGAGCTGCATGTTTCTTTCACTCTGGCTTCACGTTCGTGTGGACCAATGGGAGTCAAGAGCCGGGCCAACGAAAGAGCAAGAGAGCCACACCAGGAACCGGATTCAACCAGCGCTCAGCAGGATTGCAGAACCCACCGTACCACTCTCACACAAGGGACATACGGGCGTCGTATACCTGACACAACCTCTCTGATACGAGCGTCGTCAGATCGAACACCGGACCAGTCGTTCCACCGGGCCCGGTCGTTCCGGACTGCTCCGGACAGCTTTGGGTGGAAAAGCAGTCCCAACGGAACGACAGCAAGGAGCCATGCAGAAACCGGACCATAACTCCAATTTTTGAGATGGTTGACCAGTGAGAGGCCTTGAGTGTATTTTTGGTTTTTGCTTGATTGCATAAAGGCTTGCTTGCCCCGATCCCGCACGTTCTTGCCGTCCAGGTCTTGTCCAGGTCTTCTTCATGCTCGAAACAGGGGTTGCTGAATGAAGGAAAGCTTTGGAAACCTTTTTAGGACCATCCTTAAAAAGTCTATTAAAAAATATATATATTCTTTTTTAAAAAAATGAGAGCTTTGGACATCACGTATTACGGACATCAAGTATTTATAGTGTGCCCTCATGTGGAAGACAGTTTCTAAGTTCGTAGTGAACACGCATCTCGTGAATAAGCATGAGGAATTACTGAAACCTTCGGGTGGGTTGAGTACATGTGCCAGGAAAAGAATCAATTGTGACTTGCACATGTGAATTCAAAAAGTGTTCAAAGCAACAAGAAGAACAGAAAGCAATTCAATTAGGCCTCTGCGGGCGTGCGCGCGGCTCGCCTCGAAAAGCAAAGCCATCAGGGCTGCTTCATATTGGTGTCCATGCTTTTTCGGAAGGCGTCAGCTGGGAGCCACGCTGATGGCTTTTCCTTCATGTGAACCACGGAATTCGTAGTCGTGATCATCCTGTGATCATCTTCAGTTCACCGAGCGAAGCGAAAAAGGATGATCACAGGATGATCACGGGCTTCGGTCGAAACCGCAGCTCCGCGCCTTGGCAGCTCCGCGCGGAGCGTCATTCGTTGGGAACTCCGGTGGATCCTTCGGTGCCGCCATCGGTCTGGTCCACTCAAACAATACGCAGCATCGGTCCGTCCCTGAAACAAGCCGGAGTGGAAACGCCCCTGTGTGGTCTTCGGATTGAAAATGGTTGTCCGAAATCGGGGCAATTGTCCACTTCCATGATTTCTTTCAGGGAGTCGAGAGTGTATATTCAGGTAAACAAAAGCAACTCAGTGACCGACTGTTCAAGTCAGGGGCGTTGCCGATCGTCGCCCATCAGCAGCTCTACACGAGGCGTCATTGTCAGGAAAAGACAGCATCAGTAGTCTCATCCCGAAAAGACATCGAAGGCCTTGGAGGGAAGACATCGAAGTCTCGTGTTGCTTTCGTTTTCCACAAAGATCTAGTCTGCTGAACCTGAACCTGAAAGGTAAAGCCACACAAAAAGTCACAAAAGTTCAGATATAAGTAAAGTCACTCTGCTCATCACGTCTCACATCATGTCTCATCATGATCTTGCGGCAAGTTTTCCGAGCCGCCACAATGTGTGAAACAAGGCTTGCCTCGCTGGCATGCCTGCAGTCTCACACCAATGTTCGATGCGTTCCTCAAAAGGATGGCCACCTCAATGTGCATCAAAGGAGCCCTCAACCTACCTCTGTGCCGCTGCCCTCGCCTGCCATTCCTGCTTGCATCAATCCTGGCTGCCCTGGCGACGGCGATGGCACCTCCACTGCGACGGCGATTCGCCTCTACAGTAGCTGGTGAAGTCGTTTTGGTCGACAAAGTGGTCGGAAGCTGCTGGAGGATGACAAGCTCCTCTTCTTTGAGGAACCAGATTTGCCCAGAGCCAAAAAAAACACAAAAGAAGATCAAACAAATTATCGAACTATGCAACACCAAAAGGGATTGTTGGGTGCCGAGGGACACGTTTGCTCCACCTTCGAAGTGTGTGTGTGTGTGTGCTTTTCTTTAAGTGGCCAACTTATCGATGTTCATCATCCGAAGACCACAGAGTTGTAGGCGATTTCTTCAAGGACCCTGAGGCCTTCAAAGCCTTGGAAGAAGCTTGATGAGAATCTGCCAAACTCATGTGGGGAGGCTCTGGTGTCTGGACTGGCTCGATGGGTTGAATCGGCTTCCGCACCAATCCAAGTGGATCAGTGGAAGAGGATGCGGAACCTGCTTGCTGCATTTCTTCTTTGGGATTCGCCTTTGATGCGGGTCGAAGCACGCCCTTGCGACCAAAGCGAGCCGGGCTGCGTCCCGCTTTTCCCTTCAACTTGGGAGCTTTGGGTGAATCTTCAGAAAGACTCCGGGGTGGCTCTGGTGTCTGGATTGGCTCGATGGGTTGAATCGGCTTCCGCACCAATCCAAGTGGATCAGTGGAAGAGGATGCGGAACCTGCTTGCTGCATTTCTTCTTTGGGTTTCGCCTTTGTTGCGGGTCGAAGCACGCCCTTGCGACCAAAGCGAGCCGGGCTGCGTCCCGCTTTTCCCTTCAACTTGGGAGCTTTGGGTGAATCTTCAGAAAGACTTTGGGGTGGCTCTCGTGTCTGGACTGGCTCAGTGGGTTGAACTGGGTTCTGCGACCGTACAGCAAGTGGATCGGTGGAAGGGGATTCAGAAATGGTTTGATGAAGGCCATGAGCTTCTTCTTTGGAAGTCTCCTTCGATGTCAGTGGGCGCTGCAAGAGGGTCGTGTTTCACTTGTGAATCCGGCCCCTTCACCCACATGTGCAGCAAGCAAGAAGAACAGAATCGTTGAATCAATCAACCAAAGGACTCTTATCACCAAGATGTTCATTGATCCAATGCTTCAAAACCGTCTCAACTTCCCACCCGTGCCCGTAAACAAGGAGATCAACCTCCCATGAGCAATCCGGTGGACACCCGGAGTAGACCTCCCAAACGGACTGCACTGGCCTTGGACGTGGTCGGTTGGCCGGAGCACCACTGCTGGAATCCTCGGTCATGGAACGATGGGATAAAAGGTCAAAGGCCTTCTGTGAACATCTTGAATAGAGGAGAAAACCAATAGCAGTTAAGTACAAGTGTATGTGGGGGGGCATGATGTTGGGTCTATACAGGTTGTATTTGATGTGTGTTGTGATTGCTACCAAGATGTTGTGTCTTCGTCCATGGCCTTGTTTCGGCTTCACGTGCTTCCACTTTGATATTGGCGCTTGGCACTGCCTTGTTTCTGCAGCTTTGGTTTTGAGCTTGCTTAAAAGTTTGGCATAAGACGAAACCAAAAAAAGGAATACAGTGCGCGAGAAAGAGCACTAGTGAGTGGACAAGAAACCCAGAAGCCGCATTGCCATGCGCCTTTGGACAACACTTTTGCTTGATCGTATTCAATTCTATACACTAAAAGGGTACATGACACCTCCGGGAGATTTACAGTACAGTATGCTACACTGACTGCCACTCCAAAACAAGGAGATACCACGCATCGGCTACGGCGTTGCGGCGGTTGCATGAACTCAGTGCTCAGTGGCGAACCCCCTCGGTCAACTAAGGACTGCTCCGGCTGCATCGGCCAGAGCAGCATGTAACTCCTCTGGATCTGTTTCCTCCACGAGCTGCTCAATCTCCTTCCACGTGATTCCTTTGGGCAAGTGCTTCTCCAGTGCATTTCGTGCGAGTGCCACTTGCCATTTCTTCTGGACATGTGGATCATCAGTCAGGGAGTTCAAGGAAAAGGTTGGACTCTGTAGAGAATTCAAAGCTGCAGTACTCGATGAACAATACTCAATGAGCACATCACTCACATCAGACCATCTGACTCCGCTGGGCAATTGCTCCAGTATGGATGGTTTTGCCTGCTCAATGGCCAAGTTTACTGCGACTTCCCCACCTTTCCCTTCCAAAAGCCTGATGACTGTCTGAGGTTTCTTGATGCCCTCCTTCAATTGGTCCACATCCAGCTGCAAAAGCATCGGCTCCAAATTTTCCATGCTTTGTGGCTGAAAGCCCAGCCTTGGTTTTGAGAATTCATCTGGTAGAAAGACTGCCTTTTGGTCCAAATTTGGGAGGATTTTCACCTGGGGAACCACCCACACCTGAAGAGAAGAAAGGGTTTCACTGGACAGCTGAGCTGCTTTAGCAAGGATGGTTTCAGCTGTAGAACTGCCCAATGGATAGCTGCAGGACCCTGGTAGTCAACGAATCCTCATCAAGCGGATGGAAACACCAAGGTGTCTTGCTCCAAACAGACCAAGGGACAACAACTGTCGCTTTCTACAGTAATATGAACTGGTGAGCATCAGGGGGGCTGTGTTGCAGCTTCGGCTTTCAATGGTCTCTATAAGCAGCAAGAGACAAACCCAAAAGACAAAGAAACAATGATATCAAAGAAGGGAGCTAAACGAAGAGTATATAAACAGCTTGAAGAAGATCAGACATCGGAAGGGAAGGTCATTTCCAAACATATATACATCTGAAGGGAACAAGTCAGTCTCAACCTGGTCCAGGCGGAGATCAAGAGCATCAGGGAGATCAGTCTGAGGCGTCTAGTCTGAGCTGGTCCAGGCGAAGGGGTTCTGGTCTGACCAAAGCTGTGAAGAAAGTTCGAGATCGAGTCGGCACTCATCGCCCTTATAGCAAAAAAATGCAGAAAAAAAGGACAAAGAGAAAGAGACTGGAAACGCATGATGATTCAGAAGTCAAGGAGTTCAAGTTCGTGACTCGTCAGAGGACAGTAAAGGACAGGAGGACAGGAGGACAGAACTTCTGCACCATCTTTCCTGGGACATCCTTCTGATCTTCCACTCCGGCAGGGTCCGTCACAAAAGGCGTCTGATGGGCTTAGCCAGGAGGATACTTCGTGTGCAGGTCAGGAATCTTTTCGTGGAAGCAACCAAGGAGCAGAAAGGGTAATCCAAGGATTGCGATACTTCGTCCCAAGCGAATGAGGCAGCCATGCTCCGTGAGAATGGATGATGATGATCATGGAGAAGAAGGTTCGGGTCCACCGAATTTTTTTGGACCATGGAAGCAAGGGCTCTGCTTCGGAAGAGGCACCTGCATGAGAGCACCTTACAAGCGCAGCAGACGTGTTGGAGCCAAGGCTTTGGCTCGCCCGTGAGCCATCGCACTCTGTGCAGTGCACTTTTGCAGTACCCTGCGTGAACCCGGTGGTACTACGGCAGAAAAAACCATACCTAGTGCCCAGTGCCTTCTTGTTGACCACTGTGCTACAAGAAGGCACCAAACGTGTCCCTTCTTCGTGGTCCGCCCAAAGACCAGAAATTCGCTCCAACCCCAGCGCTCAGCCAATCCTCTATGTCACGGATGAGCGTCCCCATGGGACAGGAAGCTGGTTACGCAACAACTTTAAGAAGAGTCTTACAATCGCAAGAGAACTGCCAGAGCAGAAGATAAACGGCGACATGTTCAGACATAGAGTTATGATTCTTGATATATCATATATCTGTTAACTGGGTTTCACATGTGTCACACATTTTTGCTGACCCAAAGAATGTGTTAACACAGTGTAACCATGTCCAGGCCCAAACAAGAAGTACTACAAGTACATCCCTCTGGATGAGGCCTGCTCCTGGATCAGCGAAAGCATCACGGAGTTCCCTTGGGGCGACTTTCTCCACCAACCTTTCAATGTCTGCCCACTCAGCCTGTTCTGGCATCTTTTGCTCTATAAAAGACTTCTGGAGTCTCAGGTGCTCGATGGCCAAGCTTGCTGCGACTTTGTTGCCCTTCTCCCACAACGACTCACTTCGGAAACTCATAGGATCTTTCAGTATTTCTTTGATGTCCGAGACTTCCAATAGGTGGAAAATGGTCTCCATGCCACTAGGTGAAAGTTGAACTCTGGAGTTCTGCACATTCTGATTGATAAGAAGCACGGCAATTTTGTCCAAGCACTTCTTCTCAAACTCTTCGATGCTTTTCATATTGCCGGACAATCCCACCAAAGACTCAATTGAGCCAAATTCCTTTTCGACTGATGCTTCAATGCTCTTCCAGTCCATACCCTCCGACAACGGTGGCTCGAACTCATTTCGAAGCTTTTCTACAACCAGCTGGACGAGTAATGCAAAGGTTTGCTGCCAATCTTGTACAGCAGCAATCCTGTCAGCATCCTGCTCACTAGAACCCAACAAGCGAAGCACGTGCTTGAGCGCAAGCTTTTGCAAAGAGATATGGATTTGGGCAAGAGCGGGGTCAACGTCAAACCTGGCAAGGATCCTTAGTGCTCCGAGCTCCACAGCACGTCAAGCACATGAACAAAAGGTCACCCAGATTTACAAAAAATCAAAATCAACTGAAACAACTTCGAGAAATAAGACAGGGTGGCTCCCTAACACGAACCACAGGGTCATAAAGCATCGTAAACCCCACTCCAAAGACCATGTAACCAAACCCTGATGAATGTGGGCCAGTTGTCTTGAGCGCCACACAACCTTTCCTTTCTCGTAAGGCTGTCAGGAGCTCCTGGAAATCTGGATGACACAGCTGCTGAATCATCCGCCCAACCCATTCCAGAGTATCCACATCAGACTCACTGGCTTTGCGCAAAGCTTCTTGGACTTCAAGGGCCACGTCCGAACTCAGCGGCTCCAGAAGAGCTTGAAGGTGTCCTTGCAAGAACTGGTGCACTTGCTGGTCGACCATTTGAGCAAAGCGAGGAGACGTCGTCTTCACGGCCGAGTACGTCGCCTCGAAGACGGCCAGAAACTCCAGGAACTGCTCCGGTTCTGAGGGACCATGTGGACGGCCCGGTCCTGAGCGCGAGGTTGTCGAGGGCGATGAGCCGTACAAAAGAAAGGACACTCCTGAACAACTGACAGTTACAACTTAGCATGAACACATGAGGTGGGGATACCGATATATGAGAGCTTTCGCAAGCGAAGATGAGATCATTCGATCCTTTGAACCGATCGCACAGCGGTTTTGATGGTAATAGTCACAGCTCAGTGCGGCCAGTCTTTGTAGGGCGAAAGTTGGGAATTGAAAGAAACTCTGAGACTCTGGAGCAAGGGCAAAACCGGACAATTCCGTAGCCTTTCTTGCTTGGATGTTTTGCTTGATGTCAGGATGAGAGGAGGACGGTAGCAAAAGAATTAGAAGATTTAGCAGCAACGACTTGGTGCTCGAATTCTCCACACAGTCCGCACAGACCCATAAACTATCATAAACTGGAACTCCCAAAAAAGAAAAACACCGGAACGAAGCCGAGTAAAGCCAGGCATCTCTTCGCCAGGAACTCCAGCAACTTCTGGAACTTGGTCTGCTGCGCCAGCTGGAGCAGGCTGAAGGGGTCGACTTCCAACATCTCCTGGACGCCCCACACACCCCAGTCGTCGAATGCGCTGACCTCGTGGGACCGTTTGGTGGAGCCACTGGGCTGGATGAAACAAACAAAAGGTCTATGGATTCAGTCAGAATTAGATAGAATTCGTGGGTCTTCAATATTGCTTACGCGTTTATATCAAGGCCTTTTTCAGGTTGTGGTTTCTATGCTTCTTGCAGGTTGACAATTCCAAAACCGAAGGGATCTTTGAGTCTTGGAGCTTTCTTTGGACTCTCAGTTGGACTGACCCACACGAAATATAAGAGTGTCAACATGAAAACACATTTGCCTTTCAGCTTAGGGGGCTCTGCTTGACACTTGATGTTCCCGTGCGCTCGCAGCCCAGAACAAGGACTAGCAGATTAAAGCAAATGTCAGCAGAAAAGGTCCACGGGGCCCTTATGAACCTACAAACGCGCTGATGCTTTTTTACTAGCAAGATATCTATGCAACCACCGGCGATCAACCACCGAAACAGATTGCACCCTAGGCCTGCCTTTCCCACGGGTCTGAATCTTGACTTACGCCCTCCCGCCTGGACAAACTGGTCATTGATGCGCAGTTCGCGAAGCCAATCCAGAATGTTCTGCTTCTGCTCGCGAAGCTCTACCAGCATTGCCTCTACAAAGGCAAGGTACTTCCAAGAGCTCATGCCTACCCTCGATCTCAAAAGGGTATGAAAAGCCTGATTGGTTCACGCAACTTTCCTTCATGAATTACCTTCTGGATGTTTTTGTTGGAAGGAAAAACCACCGGACAACTCCGGGAACGACCTGAAACGAACGACACGAACGACTCAAACTGTTCGCTCGACGGCACCGCACCACGGCACCGCACCACGGCACCGCTTCGACGCACCGGAGCCTGGCAGCCCAGCACGAGTGACTTCAGCATCTCTTCAAAGGCATGTTTCAGGTCTGCCGGCACTCGGGGCTGTCCTGGCAGGCTTTAAACGGAACTGCGAAACGAGGCAAAGAATCACAAAACAGCTGCTCCAGCTGCTGGGAGTTTGAGCACGTTGCACGTCTCGAGGGGGTCCGTGAAACCCACAGAGTTTGGAGCTTCCCGCAAAGTACAAATCTCGTAGGGTCCAGTTCGGCTTTGCTTCTTTTCAAGATATTGCTCAAAAAGAACTGCCAACCAGTCGAGGTATGCGCGCCGCAACATTGAACTAGGAAAAGTCAACAGATTCACCAAAAGGGTTGAGTATTCTGGATGTAAAACTTGTCTGCCTTGACATAACCCCCCCAAAAAAAAGCGCAATGTCAACAAGTCTATGTGTCCTGGTTTCTGCAGCAAAATGCCCAAAATGATGGGAGCAATCCCTCCAAGGATGGTACTCACATTGGCTTCCAGCGGATAGAGCTGAGAGAGCACTGCCAGAAAACCAAATAGGATCCTCAGCTTCTGACAGTGCGACAAGACTTCTGACAGCCCCGGGGCCACGGTGGCCACGGTGATAGCAACAATGAAACCGGTCCATGGAATACGACCGATGCGCCCCATCTACCATGTACAGTGGGTACAGTACCCTCCAGCTACGGTAAATGGAGGTGATGCTCAATCGCTGTCTGGACAGCCCAATGGAGGCGATGCTCAATCCTCCCGGCCATTCCTGAGCCAAGTTACAGGGCCACGAAGACAAAGTACTTCATGCGCAAAGCCAAGCTTGCGAAACTGAAGCCCAACTTCCGTAGCATGGATGAGATCAAGAACTCTCGAACGGCTTCCATGATTTCTCCAAAGGTGCTCCGGGATAGCTGAACATCTTGATCTGCGTTGCCCTACAGTCAGGGGACACTCTTGAAAGTAATTGCATGTAATTGCACTCTTTGGAATCAGCATGGAAGTGGAAAACCACCTGTAAGTAGAGGAAAATGATCTAAGGGGCCATGCCATCCACTTCCATGATGATTCCAGGGAGTGTATGCTTCTGACTTAACCCACCCAGTGGGTGGGAAAGTGCGATGCTACGGCACGTACCGGCAGCAAACTCCGTTCAGGTCATTGCTATATAAATGGTTCTATGGCATGGCCGTTGACGGCCCAGCATACCTTATCCACAGCTGATTGAATGTGCCCGCAGAACACTGCAAAACTCAAAATTTCAAGGCACTTGTGGATTTTGAGACGGTGTGTTTGCTCGTACGAGAAGCACGTTGCCTTAAGTTTCTGCTTGAACCACAAGAACCTGGAAGTGAATTTGAGAGTACACCCCACTCCACTGTGTGGTTGAGCGGAATGAACACGGATATCCTAACTTAATGAATTCAACGGCAAAACCAGCACCCTCTCCTGCGCATGGATGATGTCGTTCACCAGCATCTCAAAGGCTTGGTGATCGATGATCGGCGCCAAGAACTTCTCCAATTGCGATCGCCATAGACTCGAACTTCCCTGTGCCAACAACTCGAACAGGTCCATGTCACTGGCCATACCCTGCAATAGGCGTTGATAGCTGGGAGACTCCACATCGATCTTCATTCTTTCCATCAGGTTGACCCAAAGTACTGCAGTAGAGGCTTGGAAGATCTCCTGGATGCTTTTCGCCAGGCTCCGGCGCCAAGTCAGCAAGCCACGAACACGCGCAGCCACTGCAAAAATGAAACTGCCTGGAGCAGGGCGCTGGGCTCTCGACATGCGGAGCTCGTCTCAAGATCAAGGAGCGCACAAACCCCTCCTTTGAAAGCGCTACACCAAACCAAACCCACTGCTTAAACATGATATTAACGTGGAGAATGTTCAGAGTTCATGATTGAACAACTAATTCTTGGATTGGATGAATGCTATGGGACAAGACTTATCGTTATAATCCTTGATCATCCAACTTGTGGCATACGCACCAAAAAAAACAGCTCAATCCTGGCCTAGAGCTGAGACCAGTGGTACAAATCGTGCAGGCTCCACAACCACACCGAAGCCGAGCCAACAGAGAAACAAGGCACTGCATCCGGTGGCCTGGGCAAAAAATAGAAAGAATGCCACCCACGGTATTCCGTGCATGACGGCAACCATGACATAGCACCGCCGCTGACACGTTGGCTGGTCATGCATCAGATCTTCACCGCATCTCTCATTCCTGGTCAGTGCCTGCAAGATGGGAAAGGGTGCCAACGGTAGCTTTTCCGTGCAATAGGCATAGACCAATGACATAAACAAAGCAGCTGCATAGATGGCACTTGTGCAGGTCAACACTGGAGAAGACAACAAAAGCCTCTCGGAGAGCTGTGCAAAGCGTGGCCCGAAATGAAGAGCTGTAAGGCTGTCAACCGGTGACATTGGGAAATATGGCACGCGAGCCAATTCGTAAATACTGAACCACGCTAACGGTGGTAGCATCAACAAGATGCAAATTGCAACCTGCAACAGAACCACCAGTATGTCCACCAAAAGCCACCAAGGTCGTAGCACACAGAGAACTGGAGAAGTTGCATGAAATCGCTCAGGAAAGAATCCTCTGTGAACGATTCTCTCAATTGCTTCAACGTTGAGAAGTCGTGGTCGTCGGCCATCGGACACAAGAACCAACTGGCCGTCCTTTCGATGAACCTTCAGACCGAAGCGTGCAAAGACAGCAGCGAAGGTCGAAGCAGCTAAGTCGCTCTTCGGAACAACCTCCAAACGGGTGAGCAATTGGAACGCCTGCAGCGCAGCACAAAAGCGTTGCTCTTCATCCAGACTGAGGACTTGTTCAAAGGGAGCCTCCTTCAGCGCCGAGCTTCGACGAAACCACTGGACCCACGACTCCCATGAATGTCTCAGCTGGATCTTTCTGTGCAGCAGGCCGGTGCCTTGCACATGGAACCCCCACTGCGTGTGACGATGCGATCGCACCAAAGTGTGTGGATGGCTGAGCAGTTCGGCCAAGGGATGCTGGGAGCTAAAGAGGACAAATGCTGCGGCGCTGGCCACTAGTGTCCAAGGCGATGGCAAATCCACAACTAGCCGCAGAGCATGATACCAGTAAGTCACAAGCCAACTCTTTGCACTGCTTTGTCCTGGCTGAACAACTCGCATGGAAGTAGTCAGATTAGCGCGCGAAGCTGGGTGCATACCATACAGCTTTTCTTCGATGAAATCCTGCAGGAGTTTCACGGAGTTGGGAGTCTGTCGCTCGGACACAGATCTTTGAAAGGGGTTGACTTTCTCGAATTCCGCGGACTCAACGGAGATCGAATCTTTCGCTACCACCCCCAGGCCAACTGCTGCGGCTGCTTGCTGCTCCGGGTTACCTTCTTCCAGCAAGTTCATGAGGACTGGTAAGCCCTGGTGGCCAATTCTTTGGACTCCATCCAAACCAAGCTTCTGCAGTGTGACGGAGTTCTCTGCTCCAATGAATTGGAGAAAAAGCTCGAGCGCCTTGCCCACCCTCGCTGCTTTGTCCGCTCCTTTTGCTGACGCCACGGAGTTGGCAAGCGCATGTACTGATTGAGCGATACGAATCTCAGCTTCAGACCCACTTTCCGAGACTCCACCTTGCAGAAATGAAAGCAATTCTTCTTCCCCAAATTCCTTTGCTTTCCCCATGTCCTTCTTCGTTCTAATTGAAAGCAAGTCTTCTTTCTCAGGTCCTTCTGAATCTCCTGTATCTACTGGTCCTTCCGCTAATTCTTCTGCAGTTACATAATGTCTTTTTTGCCTCTTCATACGACCTTCCGGATCTTTCAGGTAGCTTTGCAAAAGACTTATGAGTATGGGCTCTGCGAATGGCTGCCCCATGTTGCAAAGCTCCAAGGCAGCTGCCCATCGTATGTCGGACTCCAAATCTTCCAAACTCAATTCCTCAGACAACTTCGTGATGAGTTTCTTCCTCCCGTCATCAGCTTCCTCCAAAACAAGAGCGATCATCTTTTCTAAACGGCCGGCGCAATCAGAATTAGAAGAAAGATTGGCGGCCATCAGGATCAAATGATGCAATTGCTCAAATACCTTTGCTTTGATCACAATCTGGTCTTTGGAGCCGGTGGAGAAGAGCTCTGAAAGTCTTGAAACGATGCCTTCCAGAATATCCAACTCAGGCTTTGAGGAAGTATTCACACGCCCTCTGCTCTCAGGATTTTGCATGGCACTGGTGAGCGATGCCATCGTATGCTCTGCAAATTTTAGCATGAGTACTGCAGCCCCGAATCGAAGACCTTCGTCTTTCAAACTTGCCAAACAGGTTGGCAAGCAGCTGTCCCGTATTTGAGATTTTAAGACATCTGGTGCCGTATCGGCTTTCAACGCAAGGGCCAAATTTGTGGTGGCTGCATCACTCCGCCCCTCATCTCTCTCAAGTTTTGCTAGCAAATCCCAAAGCAACCACAACACCTTGATCCAACGTTGCTTTGCATCGAAATCCTCGTCAGTCAGAGCTTGGGAAAAAGTTGGAACATTGTCTCTAATGAATGAAAGCAGGTGTGAACGCTGGGCAACAGTGAGGGCCTCCACAGCCAATTTTGGTAAGAGTTCTGCCGCTGCCAATCTTTCCACACAGTTCCCTTTGAAGATCTCAGCACAGCTTTCGAGAATAGCAGTGTTTGCTCCATCTAGTAAGGTATTGGAATCGTTCGACACCACATCTCTGTCAAGTGTTGCACGCAAATCCCAGAGGAACCGCAAGACCTTGATCCGACTTTGCCTTGCATCAAAATCCTTCTCGGTCGGAGCTTTGACTAATGCTGGAATCTCAGATTTAAACAATGAAAGGATCTCTGAACGCTGTGCGACATTGAGCCTTTTGGTAGCGAATACTCCTAGGAGTTCGGCAGTTGCCAATTGAGCCCTCGCACCATTCCGCTTCAAGACACGAGCACAGCCTTCAAGTATTACATCTTTCACTGATCCTTGTGAGGAAACGGCCAAGGCTGCTGAATGTTCAAGTTTCCCAAGTTCATCCCAAAGATATCCAAAGGAAACAATACCTTCTTGTCTCACCTCTGCTTCTGTGTCAAGAGCAAGTTTCAAGGCACCAGCTGCAGATTTAATAAGAACATCATTGTCCAGCTGAGCATCAGCTTCAATGACTTTTGCCCTCACATCTTGCCCGGCAAGAGTGAGCAGCTCGACGCTGCGCTCCACAACATTCCCAAGCATGCAAGCGGCTGCCCACCTCGCTTCATCTCCAGAGTTGTCTTTGCTCAAGATATGCTTCAAGGCTTGAAAGCAGCCTTTGAGTCTTCCAACTCTGGCGGCACATGATGAGGTGCAAGACTCCTGGAACAACACGCGTTCAAAAAAGTTCTCGAGAATATCCAACATGTGCGTAAAGGCCCTGGTTGCGGCTCGCCTAACGTCGGAATTCGTGTCTGCAAGTATCTTCGATAGCGCAGACGTGGTGGACATGGCAAATTTCAACAACCCATCCATGTAGTTCAGCTTCCCTGCATCTACAGAGAGTGCTTTTGTCAGTGATTTGAGAGCAATTTCTGCATACTTTCCAAGCAAATACTTGACTTGTTGTTGGATCTCCAAATGCTGGTGCTTCAATCCTGCAACGGAAATTTGGAGGCAGCATTGAATTATTGAATCTGCCACATCACCTGACGGCACAGGAGTTTCGGAAGCTCGAGCAAGCGTTAGGTCGGCGCTGTTCGCAACTACACCTTCCAGAAGTTTCTCTAGGGCATCGCAGAAGATTCTCAGGGCTTTGTTCACGGCGGGGCTATTACCGTTATCCAAATGTTGAAGCGCACAAAGTAGCTGCAGAAGAATGAGTTCCACCAATGAATGCACATCAATCAGCTTCCTTGCATTGATACAGGCTTCATTCTCAGGATCTTGCACGACACGAACGAGAGAGTTAACAATATGCTCCACATGCTTCAATGGTTCTAGAATGAACTGGCCAGTTGGTTTTGAGTATATGTTCTGCTTCAGAGCCGTGACGCAGCTGCGTGTGCAGCATCCTTGTAGCACTGCTGCCAGGGAACCCAGCAAAGCCGTTGGTGAATGGGCACGTTGATCACGGCAGTCAGAAACAAACTGATCAGCCTTCAGCAATGAAACGCTCGCTTCAGGTAAGGAAAGTGCCTTGTTCAGCGCGTCGGAGTCTTGAGCTTCTACGGTGAGTGGCTTGACAATTGTTTTTCCAAGCCAAACTGTAGCTTCCAACGGAGTCATGCACCGGTCGTCCTGCAAAATTGAAGCAGTGCAGCATTGAAGCACTGAAGCTTTCATGACAGCCAGTGAAAGAATGGCTTTGGAAGAATCAGTGCCAATGACTTTGTCGTGTTCACCAGCCATCGCCATTAGACTTGCCAGTGCACTCTCATCCAATTTGTCGTCAAGAGCATTCACACACAATCCAAAAGCCTGGATCACGCCCTGTATCATTTCTGAGTATCTGGCTCGGCGAGTGCCAAGTATGGAGATGGCGGATTTAAGCAATGAAAGCACATCATCATCCTGATTTGCCATTCCAGGGCGTTGCAGCGCAATGGTGAGTAACCCGATTGCTGCTTTTGGAAGGAGCTCTGTGCCTCCGTTTCGAGTGCTCTTATCTCTGTCTCTTAAGGCCTTGAAGCAACATTTTAGGCAGCCTCGCAATATCACGATCTTCATACGGCGCATGGAGCCAACAAGTTGGCAAGCAGCGCTGTCAGGAGGGCAAGAAGCATTCTCGATGGTGAGAGCCTTCAACACCTCGACATCAAGTTGATTGGTCACATCTAGACATGATCCAAGGGCCTCGACGGCACCTCGCCTTACTTCTTCTCGCCTGTCCTTCGCAGCCTCTACCAATGCCAAAATGGCAGATTCAAGTAATGCAACCTCGTCCTTCGGCTTTGTTTGGCCCAAGCAAATCGCATTCTTGTGCGACTTCAGAATGCTTTTTACCCACTTTCCAAGCACAAGTGTTGCGGCCCATCGAGTCTCCCAACACTTGGCATTCGAACTCAGTGAAGCAATTGCTGAGGAGGCGTCGGGTGACTCAGGGCAAGGAAAGCTTGATTGAAGGTCGGGCTTCAACATCAGACTGCTTTCGAGCTTCATAAGGGCTGTGCGACATGCTACACACGCTATGCTTGCAGCTTTGCGTACTTCGTCCTTCTCATCTCGAAGAGCTGATTCATGTAGACAGGAAGTGAGGAGTTCCACCCATGAATGGACATCAATCAGCTTCGTCCTATTGATGCGGGCTTCATTCTCAGGATCTTGCACTACACGAACGAGAGAGTTAACAATATGTTCCAATAGTTTTCCCAGGAGCAGGACAGTTTTGTGTCGAATGCTCCAAGATTCGTGCTTCAAAGAAGTAGTGCAGCTGCGTATCCAAGGTTGCTGCATGTCAGGAATTCTCCAAGTACTGTGCTTGAAGGCAGTTGTGCAGCGGTGTGTCTGGTACTGCGACATTGCAGTTTTGGTACGGCCTGACCATGGAATGACTGATGAATCACCAAAAGGATGAAGGTAGCCGGAACCACACTCACTGCTGTTGCCATCCAGAATCATGTGCGAATAAAATGTTCCCAACACATCCGCAAGTGGCATACAGCGCTCCGCTTGTCCGCTTTCCAAGAGTTCACAAACAAGAACTTCTGCAGCGGCCACGCCAAGGTTCTCAGCATCGGTTTCTTCCGCCCTGCGGCTCAAAACCACCATGGCAGCTGCAACTTGAACCTCTTGATTCCTATGTCCCAGTGCTGCTATGCACGATTGCATGCCCACGGTTTTGATGGCAAGACCTGCAGGGCAGCACCTTGAGACTTTCTCTGTGGCTTCAAAACCAGGTTCGATCTTTTCTTTGAGAATGGATCTGATCAGCCTCAGAATCTCTCGGTCCTGCTTTGTAAGGGCAGGCATGCCGGGCAAAACCAAGGTATCTTCGATCAAAGCTTTCCGGACAGCATCTCTGGCACCCTCACTCTCCAAACGTATAGTCATGTCTTTAAGCACTTGCCACTCAGAGCTTTCCAAGCATTCAAACAATACCAGAGCAGCCGCAGTTGACAAGCCATTGTCCGGCAAAGCAAAGCCCTTTGCGTCATCGTTTCGCTTCACAACAGCGATTTCAGAAATCTGAGTTCGCAGAAGCCATGCACGCCTGTTCGCACGGCACGTATAGTTGCACTGGTGAAACTTGCATAAAAAAGTCTTCCGCAGTTGGCGCAATAATGCTCGAACAACAACCAAAAGTGCTCTGATTGCTGCAACACTCGCTGAAAGAAATATAAGTGCACTGAACACAATGATCAACACCATCCACATCATGTCACTGTTCCGAACCTGATCGAAACTTTGACCTTGCAAAAACCACCATGCCAAGTCACCCTGACCAGAGAAAGAGGACACGTTCACTGTTGCAGGGCTGCCATACGCAAGGAGAACAACAGGTCTGTCAGGAAAATGTAATGCAAGGTGCTGGGCAGTGTGCAAAGGTGTTCCACATCCGTATGTGCGAAGCGGTAACTCTGCAGAATACATTGGAAACAATCTGAGTGATGCCAATGACAATAGCCAAGGCGAGATACCTTCAACGTCCACACAGTTTAAATATCTGCCGGCCACGCGAACACTGCATGTGATAGAATCTAGGGCTTTGAACAAATCAACCAACAATGCACCTGTAACTGTAGTTGACCCCAATGGGCAGTAAATAGTCACAAATTTCAAGAATGAATTTACAGCTGTATCAACTAAAATCTACCAGAGGCTGCTTGTGTAAACTTAGTCCGCGAGTTTTTCAGTTCTGCTTTGACTTTGAGATTGGCAACCACAGGGCTGCACACAATAGAGAGCGCCAGGTCACGCACCATAGAGAGCGTGACACGTCACCAGCCAAGTCTGGGCTGCACACTACCAAGAATCCCAAAAGATCTGCCGGCACTTGTAATACACCAGAAAGAAGCCAGGTAGAATATCACATCACAGGATTTTCACTTAGAATACCAGAAAACATGCCAAAAAGAAGTGGGAAGATACGCTAGAATAAGCAACAGAAGATATGCCTGCTAGAGTGCCAGAAGATACGCCAGAAAGAAGGTCGGTTAGAAAGCCAAGAGATTTGCCAGCTTGAATGCGAGAAGATACGCCAGAAAAAGAATCAGAAGATATGCCCGATAGAAATGTCTGTAAGGGTTAAGCCCGTATGTATGCAGAAGATGCGCTAGAAAGGATGTCAGAAGATAGAACGGCAGAAGATAGGCCTGATAGAATGCTGGAAGATATGCCAGGTAGAACGCCAAAAGAGATGTCAGCAAATATGCCAGAGAATGACGGAAAGGGTGTCAAAAGATGTGGTATGTAGAATGCCAGATACACGCAAGACACAATCACGCAACAAGATATGGCAGATAGAACGCTGGACAAGTTGTCAGAAAAATGACAGAAGATATGCCAGAAAGTGAAAGAATGTCAGAAGGTTTCTCAGTAAGACTGTCAAGGGACATGCCAAAGTGGAGAGGATATCAGAACTTATGATAGAAAGGATGTGGAAAATACGCTAAATAGTTTCGCGATGTTTCGCGGAATAGATGTCAGAGTACATGCAAGTTTTAATGTCGGTATACTTGCCATAAGGAAAACAAAATGTGGGCCCGGCTATTCAAGGGAATCGGGTCGCCAAAGTCAGGAAGGATGGAACAGGGACAACGCCGCGGAGGAGCCCATCGATGCGGCGCCGTGTTGAAGCCCAGTGCGCGGATCCCCGTCTCACGCGGCCTATGCCTTGATGGCGAGCCGAGTTGGCGACATGCGGGGTGACCCAAGCGGCCCATTCTTCTTCGATCTCATGTCGGATGTGGGGGCCCAACGCCCCATCACCACTCTCTGGGTTTAACATTTTGGCTCAAAGTGCCTTTTGGGCCAAACTGGCTTTTAAGGCGTGGAGTGGGTGACACTCGCGTCGACTAGCGTGCTTAGTCTGTGCCTTTGCTGCCGCGACCAGGAGTTGACCTGGCCACGCACACCCATGTCCCGCTGTTGGCTACAGCGGCTTGATTGGGCACGAGTTCGAAGCCTGGCGGATCTGGGCTTCCGTGCTGGAGATCCAACACCAACCTTGGCCCCCCGGCTGAGCGACAGACCGTGGAGGCTCCCGCATATCAGGCGCAACCCGCGCCGAGGGGACCAGAGTCCCACATAGCACGCTCCCATGCTAAACTGGGAAATCCAACTGGGCGAATGACGAGGTCATGGCTATACGGTCGATGAGCAAGTCCAGTGAGGCTCCCCGCTGCCGGCAAAAGATGAAGGCGAGTCTAATTAGTGAGACGAACAATCCAAACCCAAGCCTTCCAAAACCTGATGCATATTTAACTAAAGATGCAGATATGTCATAAGAAAATCCGAAGATGATATCAATTGGAAACTCTGCGCCACTGTTGCATTCATAGCCACACGAATACCCGGACAGGGCGGTGGAGAAAGGGAAAGGACCTGGACAAGGACAAGGCCTGGACAAGACCCGAGCAACCCATAGCTATCATGGCCAGTATGTCATAAGAGGAGGACACCAGGAGGACAGGAGGAGGACAGGGTTTGCCAGTGCGCCCAAGAGACAGCAGGAGGACACCAGGAGCATGCCCATAGGACAGCAGGAGGACAACACGCACTGTGGCCAGCGTCTCTTTTCCCAAGAGAGAACCCCAAGAGTAGACTGTTTTTTTAAAAAACATTGTTTTCTTGAGTCTTCCTGTTCTTGTTAATTCATTATATAACGTTATTCTTTTCTATTGCCTTCCTTTTCTTACTGGTTATTCTTCTTATTATTTTTCTTCTTCTTCTGATTCTTCTTCCACGTGTTAACAAAAAAACATGTCTTCTTGAGAACTATTCTTATTCGTCTTAGACTCTTAGGCCTTCCTTTTCTTATAAACTCTTCATCTGCTTACGTCTGCTTCTTCTCAAAAACTGCTCTTCTTCCTCTTCTTCTTCTTCTTCTTCTTCTTCTTAAGTCTGCACACTCAAGGACACTCATGAGCAAACAGCAGACCAGCCACTCAAGGACACTCAAAGACACTTAAGGGCACTCTGAATGTCCTTCAGTGTCTTTGAGTGGTTGATTCGATAAGCGCACCTCTTACGACCACAATGCATTAATGTACAAAAAAAAACTGAATTTCTTGATAGATTCACGTTCAATCCTTATCCGCTTTCCTGCATGTTTGGTTCCACAGTGAAAGGCCATTTCATTGCCCTCTGACCCTGAACAGCAAAATGTGCCACAAGCTTTGCCACCCCCCTGGTGTGATTGTCAAGGTCTAGTCTTAACGCTTCTACGGAGGAATCAAGTTTTAAATCCGTTCCGAAGCGTTCAAGAACATGTTGGACATAGAAAGAAGCACCTGCAAAGCTTTGTGAGGGTAGAACCACATATCGAACTGCTTCTCGCGGTTTGAGAAATGCGCTTCTGTGAGGAGTGCCCGAAGTTAATACCACATAGGAGGTGCCTTGGACTGCCGTCCCCATTGCATCAAAAGCATCGAGTGTCTGATTGTGAAAAACAATGCCTTCAGGAAGTTGCACGCTCTCCAGCTCTCGTTGTGATGCAATACCCCGCAATATGACCTGGCCATTGGCAGAAAGATTCGCATTGCAGAGTGTCCCCAGACTAGTACTCTCGTTTTGCAAATAGAGACAGGCGTGTTGCCTCCGATTGCCAGAGAATGGGCAAATATGTGCATACTCTGAACGGAGTGAAACTGAAACATCTCCATTTCCAGTCTCGATGTTGAGCATCGCATCTTCGCTTGCCACGTCCAGTTGCCCCCATAGATTGCCCTCTGACACTTGGAATGTGAAGGAGCGCAGCAGGTGCAAGTTGGCAGACATGTCCAAGATACCGGCAGCGGTTGCATTGAATGTATCCTTGTTGGTTTGCAAAAATTAGTCGCACACACAAAAGATGCACAATGGTAGCAGTCGCTGCAAGCAATCGCATTTCCTCTAGCTTGCCTAGGCTTTCTTGAGGGCTTGCTGGACTAACTCCAGTCAAGTCCATTTGCGCAGCGTCTTGCATAATCGATCATGGCAGGCCTATGCAATGCAAGCCTCACGGCGCGACAGCCTTGTCAATCAGTACACGCTACATTCAGCTTTCCGGAATGGACAGTGAATACGCAGAAACCTGCTCTGGCTGAGATTCCTGCTGGTGACTTCTACTTATAAACATGTGGTGTTGGTGCCGGTGTGCGCGCGACACATGAGTTTCAATAAGTTTGTGTGAAACAAGTTGGATGCTTTATTTGAAAAGTCGTTGTTCATGCTCACCAATGGCCCATAGGTAAACGTTAACCTTGAGGAGTGGCATTGCTTTACCGGATAAAGCTGCAACTGTTGATCTGATGCACTCTACGTGAAGGGCTCCTGCGGGAGGAGACACAGGGAAAGCAAGCAGTCCCAGCAAGCCTGGCTTTTATGTCGGGTGCCATTAAGCAGTCTTCATTTAGTTCGTGTCTCTACCTGTCACAGTCGCGTAGAGGCTTGACTTGCCTCGTTGACCTCATGGCCTCCTGAGAGTACACCTTTTGAATGAGTCGTGTCTCGTTCGCTTACCTTGCCCATGCTGCACAATCCATTCTATAGTCTGCCGTACACGCTTGTCTGCACTCATTGCTACTTCAAGATGATCTTTAAGCACCTCTTCATCCACCTATCATCTACCTCTTCTTCCACGTCCATTTCATGTATCTCATCTGCATGTCTCCCTGATGCCGAGCCATCTGCATCGTGATCTCTGGGGTGCACAGGATCTTTACCTTCGTCGTTGCCATACTACTCCTTCTAGCCATACTACTCCTTCTAGATCATACCTTCAACCTTTCGTGGCTCTAGCCTCTAGCTGCCTGCATTCTCTCCTCGGACCCTTCTGAATTCACTTGCCCACTGTTTCTCAACATTTCTCAACAATGAAGTGTTTCGAGTGGAGTGTAAATCCCTTTATTCTGGGTTCATTTGCAACTCGTTATTGCTGGGAGTCCGCGAGTCATAGCTTTTTGGAGTTGGCAAAATAAGCATTGAAGGCCAAGGCTCGTTTGCTTCTTTGTGATCGTCGCGAGGTTTGATGTGCAGTTTGGACAAGCTTGGGCATGCACACTACTAGCA